GGCTAGCCACGTGGCGGGCCATTTTTCTTTCGTTTTTTTCATAGGAGATGGCTATGGCGGGATCTTTGTCATGTTGTTTGGCGGAGGAGCGGGAGGAGGAGCGGGAGGAACGGGAGGAGCGGGAGGAGGGATGGGAAAAGGAACGGGAAAAGGAGGAGTGGGAGGAGGAGCGGGAGCAGGTGCACGAGAAGGAGCGGGAGGGGAAATGCGAAGGGGCGGAGGAGCCGCCGGAGGAGGAGCTGGAGAAGGAGCGGCAGGGGAAACGGGAAGGGGGTTAGGAGTGGGAGAAGGAGCATGAGGAGAAACGGGAAGGGGAGGAGTAGGCGCAGGAGGGGCGGTAGAAGGAGCGGGAGGGGGAGCGGTAGGGGAAACGGGGAGGGGGTTAACGAACACACGGAAGCCGGAGGAGGGGGAGGAGATATAGGTGGAGGAGGAGAAGCGGGAGGAGCACGAGGACGAGCGGGAGAAGGAGCGGCAGGAGGAACGGGGGAAAGAGCAGGGGAAGCAGCGGGAGAAGGCGAAGCAGCAGGGGCGAGAGCGGGAGGAGGAGGAGGAGGAAAGGGAGGAGCAGCAGGAGAACGAGCGGGAGCGGGGCTATGGCGGGATCTTTGTCACGTTGTTTGGCGGAGGAGCGGGAGGGGGAGGAGGAGGAGGAGGAGGAGGAGTGGGAGGAGCGGGAGAAGGAGCGAGAGGAGGCGTGGGAGAAGGAGCCGGGAAGGAGCGGGAGCGGGGCTATGGCGCGGGAAGAGGAGCAGGAGGAGGGGGAGGAGGAATGGGGGGAAAAGCAGGAGAAGCAACGGAAGGAGGACGAACAGCAGGAGGAGCGGGAGGAGCAGCAACAGAGGGAGCGGGAGAAGGAGAGGGAGGAGGATCGGGAGAAGGACCAGGAGCGGGGGTATGGCGGGATCTTTGTCATGTTGTTTGATGGAGGAGCGGGAGGAGGAGGAGGAGCGGGAGGAGGAGCGGGAGGAGGAGTGGGAGGAGGGGAAAAAGGAGGGGGAGGGGATTGGGGATGGGGTTGCATCTCACAGCCCCTTGCTCCATACTCTCCTTCTCATTTTGCACATTCCAAGGCTGCTCAGTTCGAGCTGTTTGGGATCCTGAACTGTGCAATCCGATTTTCGAATACAATACTGAACGACTTTTTCCTTTCGGTTTTTGCCTGCTGTCCTGTGCAACTCTGATTATTTTCCTTGCTCTCAAGTATGGTGCTGTTGTCTCTGTGCGACTCCCAATATGTCTTCCCGCGACCGCTACTACTCCATGTGCCTTTTTTCACAATCAAACATAAATGTTTTTTTTTTCAATCGCGCACGCTTGCATGAATCTTCCACTAGGACATGGAAATATACCTACTACACGTGTGCGTGTGTGCGTGTGTGTGTGTGTGTGTGTGTGTGTGTGTGTGTGTGTGTGTGAGAGAGAGAGAGAGAGAGAGAGAGAGAGAGAGAGAGAG